GAATTTTTAATGTGCAGATGTACCCTACAAGAAGAAACATGTTTTGTGACGTCATCATGAGCGAAAAATCACGTGCCGGTATATAAAACTTTTGTTCGATCAAGCACGTCAGATGTTAACTCTTCTACGTTTTACGACTGACGCAAAACTTAATCTTACTGGCTGCTAGTGTGATGTCCTAAAATTTCTGCTGGGGGTCCTCTATATTGAAAAACGCCAAGCCTTAGTGCACTTGAGATAGCCCAAAGAACACAGCTAATTAAGACCTTAATTGTGTTTAATGAGTAAAGCTTGGAATCACGAGTAGAAATTGTCGTTATAAACCTTAAATTACTCCATTACCATTGTTTTAATCCATCGTTTCTTTTCTATAAGCTTGGCGCTGCTACGGTTTAGGTGAACATTGTCAAATTCACCTTGCATCACCAGCTGTAAGGTGACATAAGTACTGACAAAACCTGGAAAGAAATAAATTGACACTGAGTTTTGAAAACTATTCTATGAATACTGGTAGTTACATTATGACTTNACGGCTCCATTCTACATACTGATGTGTATTAAGACTCAACCACGAATTTAGTGGGTTTTAATTTCAAGTAGAAAAAATTATCTCATCTTTGTGAAACTTGGCGAGCAGTTTTCTATCTACGCCAGATTCCATTTGATGGGATTTTTAATCGTCAGTCTTAGTCAAGTGACTTACCCTCGGCTTGTAACGGTCAAAATATTTCACCTAAAATGGGGAATGCTTAGTCAAACTAAATTGACCTTATCTTATCGTTTTTCAGTGGCTTCTATGAAAGACTTTAGTATGCTGCCTTTTAGTCAGTCCATGTGTTATCGATAACCGTCATTTAAGTAAAAAGGTCACGTGACTTAACAAATATGATAACTGATAAAGCATTCAATGAATGCTGCCTTAAAATGATAATCATTTTAGCAACGATCTTTATACTATTTTGACCTCAAAAAGTTTTGAATTTTTAATGTGCAGATGTACCCTACAAGAAGAAACATGTTTTGTGACGTCATCATGAGCGAAAAATCACGTGCCGGTATATAAAACTTTTGTTCGATCAAACACGTCAGATGTTAACTCTTCTACGTTTTACGACTGACGCAAAACTTAATCTTACTGGCTGCTAGTGTGATGTCCTAAAATTTCTGCTGGGGGTCCTCTATATTGAAAAACGCCAAGCCTTAGTGCACTTGAGATAGCCCAAAGAACACAGCTAATTAAGACCTTAATTGTGTTTAATGAGTAAAGCTTGGAATCACGAGTAGAAATTGTCGTTATAAACCTTAAATTACTCCATTACCATTGTTTTAATCCATCGTTTCTTTTCTATAAGCTTGGCGCTGCTACGGTTTAGGTGAACATTGTCAAATTCACCTTGCATCACCAGCTGTAAGGTGACATAAGTACTGACAAAACCTGGAAAGAAATAAATTGACACTGAGTTTTGAAAACTATTCTATGAATACTGGTAGTTACATTATGACTTTTGGATTATGAAGCTGTTATTTCAAGGTTATGAACTGAGGCATGGTCTCATTACGTTCCAAATTAATGTGTCTTAGTCAGAAATGCGAAATGAGACCCCCTCGCGCATCGACATGTTTTTGATACGATGGGCATTTTCATACCGCTCTTGGGTGCATTCGATCGGTCGGTATCCGGAATAAGAAAACGAAAAAATTTGGTAACAAATCTCTTTAACCATGATTTTTTGACCATTAAAACGCTACTTACATCGGGATATTTTATTTCAAGGAAATTCGTGATTGCCAAATTAAGCAATTTCTAGAATTTATTTCATTTAGTCTTTTCCGGAATATGGTCAATCGATCACGTCCTTACAAATAATTAAAATAGTAATGTAATCACTATCTCTCTGCCAGGAGCATTGGGCGTCATCAAAGGCATCCCGGCGACAGGTTGGTTAAAATCTAGCATGCGCTGGCTGTTAAACCGACTTGGAACATTTTTTTTATATATATATATTTGATAATCTACGTTTATTATTACCTCATTTTAACTTTCTTAGTACCTACGATACTTTACCAAGTTTATTTGTAGCATAGTGTCCTTTTAACATCATAATGGCAACTCACTTGCTTAGTATTCGATAGAGTAAAGGTGGCCTAAGACTAGCGATAGTTACAGGTGTCGTTAAGAGCAATCTCTTTACTTCCTCACTCACCAGGTGACAAAGTTTTTAGTTTAGACATCTTGCCGGCTGATCCATGACCGACTTTGTTAAATCCATTTACTTCGATCTGGTATTCTGTATTTGGGAGAAGTCCATCAATGACAGCATCTGTGACGTTCCTTGTGACGCTTAATTCCTTAAATGTCTGGGACCCAAGGCGTTTGTATCTTATCCTGTAACCTTGCAGTTTTTCCTTGTACGACGTTGGGGGGATTTTTTCCCAATAGATACGAACTGCAGACGAATTGAGAGGGTAGCCTCTCACGAATCTAGGAATCTCCTGTGGAACTAGTTAAGCAGCAGAAGCAGACGTGTCAATAATTTCGTCAGCAAATTGAATAGCCAGATTTAAAATTATTCTACAAACTTTTATGTTGTTGTGGCTATATATTAATTAAAACCACACTAAACGTTGTTTTAGTCAAATTGTCTACTCTAGAGTGTATACTAAGTAGTTTCATAGGAAATGGTCGTCATGGTCACTGGTTTCCCCTCGAAGTGACTTTTAAGGAACGAGCGAAGAAATTCCAAACTGATGACGCTTCACTACCCAGATATGGGTGGTGTTTCTGATTGGCAGTGCCGCGAGGGAAATATGCGTCAACTTATCAAAATCATTATCCAGATCTAGGTAGTCACACGTCATCACTATGGGATTTCTTCAGGCATTTCTTCGGCGTCATTTCGAGGGAAAAAAAAAACAGTGGTCACAGACGTTGCGGAATGCCGATTTTCCCAGGCTAATATGTTGGCCATTTCAAACATTAAACTGGTTTAAACGAGTTCCAGATAAATAGATATACTGAGTTTACCTCTTGGAGGACATCTTGATATATTGCAGTATTCCCATCGAACTTTGGGGTCAGTGGTATAACACCAAGGTCCATCCGGGGCACTTCCCTCCGGGTTGCGACACATGTTGGAGTCATTCTGCCCTCCATCTTGAGGAATCCGCCAGTGACGGTGGGGACATTGTGAGGCCCAACGCTGACAAGTACGGCCAGAACGGGTGATGTTCACGGTACCGCTATATCCAACACCAATGTCGTAGTAGCAATCTGTGGATAGCCAGCTATTGCTTTCATCAAGACATCGCTGGTCTTTTTTTAAAATTGTTTCTTAACCTTTTCACACCTGCTGACAGTCTCCAGTTTTCAGTACGATCGCAATGACCCTATGCCTACTATAACAGATGGCCATCTTTGTTTCGGAAGTATCGGGGTGGGGGGGGGGGGGGCAAGTCCGGGTTTATAGAGATGATGCAGGGGGGGCCGCTGTGTCTCTTCCAATTTTAACCTTCTACCATAAAAAGGAATTTAAAAACCGTCCTTCCCGGGGGGGGATTGGGTTTAAAAACCGGCCCTTTTAACTGCGTCTGATCCGAGCCAGCGTCCGCCGTCGTCCACAGCCCCGCATGGCGGGGAGTTCGAGCCGGCGGCAGCGCGAAGTTACATTGTGGCGGCTGGCTGTGGTAGCGGGTGGAGGTGTGGGGGGGGCGGTGCAAGTCCAGGTTTATAGAGATGATGCATGGGGGGACGCTGTGTCTCATCCAATTCTAACCTTCATCCATATAAAGTAGATTATAAACCGTCTCTCCCAGGGGTGGATGTAGGTTAAAAACCTGACCTATTTCCTAAACAAGCGCCAAATGTTAATGTTAATAATGTTTAAAAACATAAGTTATTAAAGGGCCTTCTGCTCTAGTCCGCAAAAACGTAACGTCTAGAACTAAATTGACACGTTACTACTAAATCACTCTCTTTATTACGTCTAATCATTTGTAATTATACCCGAAGAAGAAACCCCTGATGAAGGCAGAAGCCATTCTTCCGAGTGCAATTTACATATATATTTATATATTAAAATATGTTGCCTATGAAAACTCTGACCAATTTGCGTAAAAAGGTGGAAACCGGTGTGGATCCTCGCCTGGGCTCCTGGGTATACTTGGTACATTACAACCAAGTTGAAAAAATCGATATAAATAGTACGTTGTTGTTATGTACACTTTTTGTTATTTTTGGATGTTACTAATTGTGTAGAAAACTACTTTCATTTGTTGTTGTCTTTACAGCCGCTACAAATTATTCTAGGATATACAATTTTCAACATTAAAACTGGACAATGTTGTAAATTGGGTGCTTTTTTCTTTAGATGGTGGAACTATCCTAGGAAATATAAGTCCCCCTGAAATAAAAGGATTGGGTATAATTTATTAGACAGTTAAATGACGTGAGTACTGGGATAGAGTAGGTCAAAAGCTGGAAATTCACCTGTGCTCTTAGTATCATCGTCTGTGTAAAAGAGAAAAAAGTGAGTTAATTTTGATGCTTGGTTCTAGCTCCAAGAAAAATTATATGCTATTTCGAGAGAGGGGACTCTCTCTATATCAATAAAAAATTCAGAAATTCCTAGGTGATTCTAGGACGACAGAGGTATATGTTAACCATTCAAGGTTGTGGGGGAAAACTTAAGCAAATTGTTATGTAGTTAATTAGAGCGTATGCACCAGATATACATAACTGGATAAAAGGATGAGCGCATAATTTCAAGCGTTCACGCACGGTGGGCATAAATTAGGACGCCTAAAAGTGCATCCTAGGAACTACTTTTACACTTTTTATTCGTTTGAGCTCAAACTTTGCAGGATGGTAAAACTTTGTATTCCAAAGTTTTTGTTTTTCAATTTTAACTTTTTTTTGGCAGGACAATGACGTTACAAGATTGACAGCAAAATTAAAATTTCAAGATATGGCAAAAGAAATAAAAATAAATAAACAAAAAAGAGCACGACTCAATAAAATAAAATGTGAAAAAAAAAATTTTAAAAAGCTCATTTGGTTAAAGAGTTAAAATTAAGCTTTTATTTTTGAATTTCTCGCCGGGTGGGGTGTGGTGGGATGGGGTGCCCACAACTCGGGGCAGTGGTACGCAAAAACTAGCAGCCAACAAATGCCCGTAAACAAATATAACAAAATAGGCAAATATAATAAAAGTACGGAGCTCTAATGAATGCTGACCTAGACTGGTTCAAAATTACAACGTACAAATAAACAAGTATCAAAAAGCTACCACTAACAATTCCTCCTAGCCGGCCCAGTCCTCTGGTCCGTGCATAGTAATCTTTCTGCTCCGTTATACTAAACTGTCAGATCTACCATCTTTAAAAGATCTAGCTCAAGCAAAATTTTGCCTTATAAATGTTTCCATAGATAGGTGCCCCCTTCCCCCCCGCCCCTAGTCGCAAGTGTGACCAACAAACATTTTCACTGAATAATATTAAAAAGATGAAAATGCTTTGATTTCCCTCGACTACGTCTTTATTTCGAGGGTCTGCTTTCTGCGACAGGAAGCGGAAACTCCGGAGGTCCCCCATCATAACTTCAAAACCACCACCAAAATTACACAGAATAATATACTGATCATTTCCAACATCTAGGGATAACGTGATAGACACAATGGCGTTGATGTCATCTTGGCGGCATTTTGTTAAATTAATGGGCAGAATATCAAATTCCGCCATTAAAGCGAAATTAATACTTAAATAGTAAGGCGTCTGACAAAATCAAGAAGCTGGTTAACATATTAAATAACGATAGCAGTAATGTCACGATGACGTCGTTTCCGGTTACAGAAGGATCTGGAACCGTCCGCCATTTTAAATTGATAAAAATGATCTATGTATAAAGGGATGCTTAGAAAGCATTAAAAGCAAATTTTAAAAAAAACATGGCTGCCGAAACAAAGTTGCCATGGTAACGTGACTGTTGACGTACACGATGTGACAACTTAAAGATGTTCCCAGAAATCTCTTCTAATTTTAGGAAAAGTCACTAGGTTTGGTAGTCCTAGCTTAATTACTTATGAATTTATAGCTTTTTTTTCCCCTCCCCTCTTCCCCCGTCTGAATAGAGTCAAGGAAATGTATGGAGATCAATGATCTAGAATTTGTATTTGGATATTGGGGTTTGAAAGGTTAAGTTAATTGGCTGTTACCGTCACAACTAGACGGAGACGTTGGGGAACGTTACTGCTCAGAGTGATATGTCTGCTCATATAGAGAGTCAAACAAAAAGACTGAACGACGACAGGGACCAACTCGAGCGGTCGAGCCGGCTTTCTGTTTATCAGTCAAGATACAATTGAATGTACTGCTCACTAGACAAATATGATTCCTCACAACAAAACTCTTCGAAAAATGAGCATTGGCGGCAATTTTTTTATACTCTTGAATTATCTTTGTAAATGAGCGATTAGCTCAAATACAACTTCAAGGACGAAATCAAGTTTTAGTGGATTTGCTATTTGGTTTGATATCTTGTTTTCCAAATTCACAAGTACAAACCTGACAGGGGCTGGTATTGATAGCACTCAGGAGCGTCACCTCCGTTAGCAACATCAAAAAATGAGCAATTGATCATTTTGTGGTCAAATCCTGGAGCTGTCTTTGCCGCGATCCTGACTGAAATCATCTCCTTCAAGCACAGAACATGGTCAAGATATTCGCACGACCTGCGACAAATCCGCCGAGGTCGAGGTATCCGTAAAGACGTATCACATGGCGGGAAATGATATCGGCAAAACAAATCTCTCATGATTATCCTGCACTCCTTTGATATTTCAAGGAAGTTGAAGAAGTAGCCTTGGAAGTTCAATGTTTGAAAGTCGCCATAATCCACTGTTCTTTGGTTGCCAAAGACGTAGAGACTAGTGATAATTCCCTTGCAAAGTTCTCCTTTAGTGTAGTTGTAGAGGATACAAAATTCGTCTCTAGTGGAAGCGTTAACAGGAGGCTCTGCCTGTACACAGCTTCAAAAAGGGATGAAATATTTTCAATTGAGCAAGTTAAGTGTCATTTTGATGATCAGTCACTTAAATCAAAATACAAGAAAATATTGAAAAGTTAAACCAGCGTTTGTAATTATAAGGGCCGCGCCGGCCAAGTGGCTCCCATTCATTGTATCGCAATGCCCAAAAAAAAGCACTAAGAGTGTATTGGTGTATATTTTGCTGTCAACTTTACGGTACGACTGCATCTATCGTCATTTGCATTACGGACCCCTTTTGGATGCCACTTTCACTCTGAGTTTTGGCCAATTTTACTTTTAGTGTATAGGCGAATCCTTGTTTACATTTTTTGCCTCTTTAGCGTAGGCTTATCATTATCTGATGAAGCTAAAAAAATGAAATTCCAGAATATTGAAAGAGAATAATAATTTCAGTTATTTCTGAAAATTTGAGCACAATATACCCAATAGTTTCGGAGGGACTGTTTTGGGGACGCATTTTCAAAATGACGGCAAGTTTAACGCCCAAAATTAGTTTTGAAAAACCCCAATTTTTCAAAGAATGCATGAGCTCATTAATGTTTTGCCACCTATGAGTAGTAGGGGAGGGACCGGTTACTCCTCTTTTTTGCGGAATTAATTAACTTTTTGTGCCTTATAAATTAACGCAGATGACGTCATGCATATCATTAAAATAGGATAATGTCATTGTTTATTTTTAGCTGGCCGACGTCATACATGTCATATAGATAGAATGATATCAGTTTATTTGTAGCTAGCAAGGAGCAAGTGAAGTCAGAATTTCCTAGAGTTGACGTCATCAAAAAATGTTAAGACCTCCTTTTCCCTTCTTTTGAAGTAAAGATTGTTCAGTTAACCTCCGTGTCTTGGTTTTGTTTATAACCGATTTTAAGTGAAAATAATTTATTTAATGATTAAAGATTTTTCATTTAGTATAATCTGCAAAGATAACACGTTCAAAATTTGCCCGCTTTTATTTTGAACACATGACAGTTTCTACAATATCCAGTCAGAAGACTGTAGCAAACAATATATCTAATCAGAAGACTATTGCAAATAGCTAATTATATAAAAATCACTTTTCTGTTTATAGATTATGATCTCGACATTTTTTGATGACGTCAACTCTAGGAAATTCTGACGTCACTTGCTCCTTGCCAGCTACAAATAAACAATGATATCATCCTATCTATATGACATGCATGACGTCAGCCAGCTAAAAAATAAACAATGACATCATCCTATCTTAATAGCATGCGTGACGTCATCGACATTAATTTAAAGTATGACATCATCCTATCTTAATGAGATGCATGACGTCATCTGCGTTAATTTACACCGCACAAAAAGTTAATTAAATCCGCAAAAAAGAGGAGTAACCGGCCCCTCCCCTACTACTCCCATGCAGTAATTTTGTAGTTTTTAATTGATGATGTTTTCTTTGTTACTGATTGTAAATAGCTGAATTTTGCACAAACTGCATAAACTAGCCAGCTCTTTTAATTTTTGCACCTAATAAAGAGGCGAAGTGTGACGACACGTTACCATGGTAGCACTATTTCTGGATGACAACAAAACCAACGACGACGGCGACGGCAAGGAGAACGGCAAAAAATAATATGGTTATATGAACTAACAACAACTTTGCACGTAAATCACGCAATTTTCTACAGTTCTTTGCCATCGTTGCACCACTACGACATGAAACTTCCTAATTTCACGAGCCCGCTTTATTGAGTAGGTGAACACAACAAAAAAAATTGTCGCTTTCTTTTTCTAAACTCAGATAACGATGGATACGGTCCCAAAGAAAATTTCATCTAAAAATTTTGCTACCATGGCAACATGACGTAACGACTTCTCCTCTCTATTGGTAAATACGGCTACATCTTCTATGGGTTAACTCGTATGCTAATGAGCAAAAATGTAAACAATGACGTCACGATGAATTCACCCATAAAAACTGGTAGTCATGTTAGTATGTTATTAAATGGTGACGATTAAAATTAGGGAAAAATTTGAAGCGCGTTTTAAGGCTCGCGAAATTATTAGACTTGGACAAAACGCGCGATAGGGTATGAAACTATTCCCTAATTTCAAGAGTATACAATTTCAGTGATTACCTACTAATATCATGGGTATTTAATTACGCTCGCAATCCTGAACTTTTGACGTAATGTATCAAGAATGCGACGCAGTGTTTCATTACCAGATGAAACACTAAGAAAGGAGTTGAGTATTTTTGAAGAAATTCGAGGTGTTTCATCTGGTGATGAGACATTGTCTCAAATGCTTGTTATTACTTCCCAACCAGAATGACTTTACATGGAGAAATTAAGGATGCAAAATGATTAGTTTTTCATCATCTGATTTCCAAACACTCATTAAAAATTAATTTCCTTTGTATTTTTCTTATGAATTGTTGATGAGTTTGAGAAATGTTAACGTTATCCAGTTTTGTCGTATCGATCGACAACTCCACGCTTTAAAAATTAAAGTTTAAAACTTAAATTTGGCTAAAGTTCAGAATTTTCAGAACTTCGACAAAATATCTGTTAGAATCCTTCTTGATGTGTTCTTTCGTGTCTTAAAGGTATTCTAAAGCGTCTTTAATGTCCCACAATGCACTTGACAACCATCTTGACCAGGTCTCCCGCGCAACTTCAAAGTGGCGAATAACAAGTCAACACTCGAGTCTTAATCAATATAGTTCTTGAGTATTTAAGGTACTAACCTTAAATCGGATTCGACTTTAGTCTCGTTACTCTGCTTTCCTGATGCTAAAGGAGTAATAAGAAATAACTTTGGCTCAGGTACCTAGCTCACGAATAACAACAATGATGTGCTGTAAACAACATCGGTAAACAATTTTTAAATAAACATACAATATGGCCACTGTTTGTGTAATTAGCCTCTTCTTGCTTTCCCCAGGCTTGCCTCTCTTTGTTTCATTGAGGACAAGCCAACCCCATTAACCGAAATCTAGCAGGCTGGAAATTTTCCCATATGAACACTTTGACAGAAATGAAGGTGAACAAGTTAAGGGTGCTATGTACATTCTGTCAACTAAATTACCAATTTAAAAGACTAGTCTTCCACTGAACGAAAAAATCTTTTCGAAATACTGCAGCCTATCAAAAACTCTAGAGAGGGGTTTCATCAACCCCTTTCCTTGTACCACGGTGGGGGTATCACTTTGTTTGTACGTCCGAGGGTTAAAGTTATGAAAATAAGTAAACTTACCGCAATTCGCAGAGGTAACAAAAATAAAGAATAGAGAAAGAATTCTGGCATCGCTGTTGCGAGAGTACATGACGTGTGGTTCGCTAAAGCCTGACCTAGTTGAAATAATAATAATAATAATAATAATATAAAAAAACAAATCGAAACGTACCATTCTGCCGTGTGAGCATTCCAGTCAGTGAGTTCTGAGATGACTAGCCTGATTTTATTTATAACAAATGGGAAGTAGGCTTCCAAATCAAAGGATCAAAGGGCTTAAGCTCCGTTAACATGAGCGATTTAATTCGCGAATTTCATATGGACCTTTTTAGCTTGTATGTTTTGTTTTCCTAAACATTTCTCTGGGATACCATCGATGGTCTAAGGGCCTGTTTACCTGGAGGTGGGGGAGACCAGGTAGATGAGATAACCCGTTTAGTTGGGGTACCCCGGTTGTCCATAAAATGTCTCATATGGTCACCCCACTTATCATGTACACGCGATCAGATTAATATGAGAGATTGTATTGACAGGCAGGTTACCCCACCTGAGCGGGTTTCATCGCCTACCTGGGGTCCCGCACATCCATGTAAACAGGCCCTTAGACCATCGATGGTATCCCAGAGATCTGTTTCCTTCAAGTGTCGTCCTATGCACGTGCAACCACCCGCATATGCATGCATAATTGCTTAATTGTGAAAATCCCTGGAGAACATCACGTGGTCTAAATGGGAAAACAAAACATATAGAGCGTTTTCACATGACGTCAAGGCGTCCATTGTGATGATCCAAACTAGCCCTGTGGGAGTTGGACTTTTTTCTTACGTAAACAATTTCTTTTGTTCCAATAAATTTGCATAGATACTGGTCACGTCAGTGAAAATGCTTTATAAACTAAAAGTCCGTTTAAATGGAGCTGGGGGACCCCCGGTGGGTGAGGTAAGCCGCTTAGGTGGGGTAACCCGCCTGTCCCTGTAATGTCTCATTTGAATTTGATCACGTTTACATGATAGGTGGGGTGACCTGTCACATCTTACCTCACCTATCTAAGGTACCCTACGGCCATGTAAACAGGCCCTAAAAAGGTGCATTAACTAAGGGCCTGTTTACATGGAGGTTGGAGACCCCAGGTAGGTGAGGTAATGCGCTTTGGTGGGGTAACCCGCCTGTCCAAATTGACAAATTGAACGGCAATACTTAAGCAGCGTCGTTTTATAACTGTAATATTGGCAAATACGCCTACATCACGGAAAACATGAAAGACTTCAGATTTTTTGTAATTATGGAATGCACCTCCGAATCAAATTAATACTGGTTAAAGAAATCCTAAAAGAAACTCAGGTGAATTATTAAGCATCGAGTGTAAATGTTTGTTTATCAGTTAATGATTATTAAATTATGATTAGTATGACTTAAATAATTATGCACATCGAGGAGGGTGTTATCGGCTGAGGTGGATAAAATTATCTAAGTGCATCCACATAATACGAAATCCACATTTAACACTTATTTGAATTTTTCATCAATAACTATTTTAAAATTGCTTAACCTGCGATCAAGCTCTCCCCCTCTTTCTTTTTCAGTCAGCACTTTATTTTTCTAAATCGGCTTTTCTGTCTTTGTATGCCGTATAAACTCTGTTAACATTTGATTTCACGTGTAATTTCAGTACTAGCTGGTTTTGAAGATTTAGTCGGGATCGGAAAACTGAGTAAGTAATTATTATTAATTGTTATTCACAATGTAGCTATATTGTTGTAATGTTTTTGGTTGTTG